TTCATCGAGGCGTTCACTAATATGCTCACAGATGTCGACTTCCAGATCCCCCCATTGCCTCCCAAAGATGTCATCCACCGCATATATAGAGATGTCTGCCCCCTCACATATTTCCTTCTGCGGACTTGCGAACCTGATGTCGTGTGCGTAGGTCCGCTTCAGCAACGATAAAACACCGTACAAGAAGGGACTATCTGCGAGTTTTTCGAGGAGTGGCAGGAAGGGGATTTTTGCGTTTTGTAAGCTTCATGGTATTTTGCTTTCGCTGCAGATATCTAACTGTTCGTAGACCACGTGTACGCACCTCTTAGCATCGAAGTCGGATGAGCTGACTGGATATATGCGCGTTGTTTGCTCACACAGAATGAGTCAGTCATAGCTGACAATACTGGTTCGGTGCACGCTGACATGGATAATGATTAGTAAAGCCGGGTGACGAGAGCGTCATCGCTGCAGGTGCATGGTGTCCTGCTAAGAACGAACTTGCGACTCTCAGGTGTGTCTCGCTCCGCTTTGTTGCCATAGTTCTTTTCATGCCTTCCCACGCCTAACAGAAACCACCTACTTCGCTCCACACCCGCCGCTAAGACTCTGCACACGATTCTTTCTTCTGAAGCATTTACTACCCATTTCGGCCCTCCCCGCCCACACCCGCATGGAGATCGTCAGAGTGTGTTTGGGCATGAAGATGAATTGAAGGTGGCACCAAAGGGCGTGGATAAGAATCACAAGTATGTGGTAGATTATCATTCGAGTCACGAAGGCTAATTGATACACTATGCTATGCGTTTCTAGAGATATCGCCCTCCTCAAATGTCGCTCCCTCGCAGTTTCCTGTCGGTTCACAGATGCCCAAGTCGTTGCACCTGGATCCGAGTTTATGAATACACTGCGTGGTGTTGCAGGTGTAATGACGCCATTTGTTCATTGGTGAGTGCTGTTGCTGGCTTTCTCGGACCGATTCCGAACCAGAGGCGCCATTCGCACTGAGTGCTTCATTTTGAGTATAACGTTTGGGGGACATGGACTAACATCACCTCCTGTAGTTTGAATGATCTGATGACGCTTCCTGTGGACGACGGTTCGGATGAAGAGAACGAGGAAGATAATACTGGGGGTCCGGAGGAAGATGAGAGTGAAGGCGGAAATGAATAACAAACAGGAAGCCTGGATTCGTTTACCAAAGCTGAGCTGGCTGTTCAAATATTGCCGGTATTAATTTTCTCAGGTATCTTACTGTCATCTAGTATACACGATGGCGATTGTGTCCACCCCATCAGTTACTGTCTAAGGCTAACCTTCGTTAGATAAACAGTGACTTCATCTCAGTATGGATGGTGGCAAGAAACCTTGCAAGGATGGTCGGACGGACTACCCGCCGGACTTTTTGTTTCTTGCAAAAATGCCGAGCGGACTGTGAAATTGGCCAATGTGACCAGAATTCTGTAACGAGATTGGCACGAATTGGTAATAGAGCCAATAACTTATAAGTAGCTGGTCCACTTATTCAGGTGCGTCGTTATACCATGTCAGCTGTCTCACTCCAGACCACTGCAATCCCAATCGTCGACTTTGCATGCTTCGGGGATGGTACTTCCCCAGTACGTACGGCGCTCACAATGTACATGCGACGATAATCATTGAAGCTCCTTTTTTAACATACAGGAAGCGACAGAGATAGGAAAGCAATTAGTCAAAGCGTGTCGAGAAGTCGGATTTGCATACTTTCGCAACACTGGTATCCCTCAGGCAGAGGTGGATTGCATGTTTGAATGGGTGTGTATATATCACTGCATGTGCGAAATTTACCCCAACAAATGAGTGTGCATCAAGAGCAGGAGGTTATTCTCACTTCCAATTGAAGCAAAGCTGTTGGCTCCGCATCCTACGGAGGGATGGAAACACCGAGGATATAGTGGGGTGCGTTGTCCTGAGTTACGAAGACCACATCGTAACATGCCTTAACAAACGTCTCATTCAGGTGGGCAGGGAGCAAATTTCACAATTGGTACGTCTCAGTATCATTCGAACTGCAATATCCTGACTCGCGTAGGTATCCAAGTTCGACCCAACGCAGGTCGCCGCGATACAGAAACAAACTCCCGATTTCAAAGAATCATTTGACATTGGGCGCAATAATTGCCCACGCGTCTCCAATGTGTGGCTCCCAGAGCAAGTCCTTCCGGGTTTCAGAGACGCGGCATCTACTTTCTTTAATACATGCCATCGCTTTGAGATCGAGAAGTTATTACCTGCATTATCTCTAGGGCTCGAGCTCCCTGGCGGAGGCGAATTCCTGGGAACATATCACCAAAAAGCAGAGTGTCAACTGCGATTGTTGCATTATCCAGCTGCGCCTGCAGAGATGTTCGCACGCGGTGAGAAAGGGAGAATCAGTGCACATACGGTATGTGATTATTTGAGCAGCAGTGATTATGTGTCGCCAACAACAAACGATAGGATTTTGCAACGGGCACGATTCTGTTCCAAGATGATGTTGGGGGACTCGAGGTTGAGTGCCCTCGTGGTTCAGGAAATTTCGTCGCTGCGTCACCCATTCCGGGAACGGCCGTTTTCAATATAGGAGACTTCTTAATGCGGTGGTCAAACGGTACGATTCTTTCGGCTGTTCTCCGCCATAATGCTTATATTTTATTCTAACCAGATACGCTTAAATCAACATTGCACCGCGTGTGTGCGCCCCCGAATGATGGGAAGTTGGGAATGGTCAAGGAACGCTTCTCGATCCCATATGTAAGCTCCCCGCAGACATTTGATGTGTGTTTGATGCTGATGCTGGATTAGTTTATATCTCCTGACAGAGATCTTTTGATTGACTGCCTCCCTGGCTGTTGGGATGAAGACACACCGAAGAAGTATGAGCCTGTGACAGCAGGGGCGTATGTTGACATGCGGCTTGATGCTACGTATTAATGATTTACCAACCTGGAATGATTATGTCTGGATGTTGCATGGATGGTGAAGGTCTTTCCTAGACCTTTTACTTCTTGTTCCGATCTCAGCATATTATCTGAACTCCCTGGTGATCCGTCAGTCATCTCGTTCAACGCTACAAAAGGCTAGTGCGCTGCAATGATCCACTTTACTCTGCCATGTTGATATCATCGGATATCACCGAGCAGTACACGGGCGCCTTATACCCCAATTCGTTTACAACAGCTTGTGTGGATATTAGAAATCCATAACATTGAAAAAATTGCTAGCGTTTCATCAGTGAATCGGCAGTTCCAAACGTCTGAAGTATCAACGATAAAGGATTGAATTAGCTGATCACGTTACTGCACACTACGTATGTTGAGAGCCTCGTCAACTTGTGGAATAGATGATGGGCTTTGTCAGATGAAACACAATCAAATTGATATTACATTGGGGCTGTACCGGTAATTAAGCCACCATAGCAAATCTAGTGGTATCTGCAACCGAATCGCACACATGTAGCATATTCCAAGCATCCGTTCAGCAGCGCAAATCCGGAGTTGTTGATTTCACTTCACGAAGCACGAGAACCGCATCGTACACATTCTGTGACGACGCTCCCGGAAAACGGATGGTGATGCCCGACGAACAAATGGTGAGGAGTTTCCAAGCACTTAACCCGAGACGGCATCACGAAGAGGCATCCCAGGATTCCCAAACGAGATAAACGCACACTCGCACTGGCAGCGTCTACTTGTTACGACCTCATAGAGTTGTGCCGGCGCAGAATAGGGGCAGAGTATGCGTATATGGGCGAGTTATTGAGAGGTAGGGTGAAGACGGTTGGGGTACTACTTGCGGGCTTGAAGGCCGGATCACCTATAGCATCGCGCCGCGAGAGTAAATAAGTGTGAGTCGCGAGCAGAAGCTCATCTACGAGCTTGTACTGGAGGAGGGCACGAGGTATGAGCTTTGAAGTGAACAATAGTGGCAGGGCCAGGAAACCTGGTCGTATGTGGTATTGTGTGATATTGGTTCGTGCGACATCGCACAGAACGTTGGCCACCAATGGCGCTATTCATCAGACGCGGCGATGTAGTCCCCATGCGATGATTGGCTGTTCTAATTTTACATAAATGTATGCAATTGACTGATATCACATTGCTTATACTCGAGATTCCGCGACTGGAGCGCTCTGTCCGTTCCCGTTCATTTACAAAGCTTGGCACTTGATATTCAGTACCAGTGGCCCCGCTTCCTGCGATTGATTGATGCAGGAGGGCGTTTAAAGATCTGAGATTCTCGATCCGAGCCGAGGGTTGGCCAGTAATGTCTACCGAATCACCATCTGAACGTCAGTACGATGGTATATCCCTCCTGAGCTTAACACTTTTCACGGGCATTTGCTACGGGACTGTACTAACCATCTACATCCAGTGCCTCTTTTCATTGGTCCACAGTCGGATGCGGCAGCTGTCTCCCGGGCGACGACTATTTTTCTTCGGCTATACATCCGCCATGTTTATCCTTGAAACCTTATATGCTGCTGCAAATTCTCGAAGAGTTTGGATAGCGTTCGTTATGAATTGGGGCTCCCCCACTGGTCCAGCAAGTTACGAGATTGGTTTATGGCATGACTGGGCCAGTATAGTAGCAATGGCGTGCTATATCATCTCCAATTGGTTGGCCGATGTGCTCATGGTAAGATCATCAGTGTCATCTATGCTCATGTAGATCGTTGACTCGTGCCTCTCCTTAGCTTGGGCGCTGTGTGATCCTGTTCCGAAACATGAAAAAACACAAGATGGCTGATCCCTATCACGTGCAGCGTGTTCCTTGTCGTTATTGGTATCTACTACGATATAAAGCGTTGACTTCAGAGGTGCTGACAATACATTGGCAGCGGCTTCTATCGATCTGTTTGTGAATACAACAGAAGTGTCCAAGTCAATGGAAGCAATGGCCAAAGCTCATTGCACATTTGTTGCGGTCGATCTCTCCTTTAATATTACCGCGACGTCATTGATAACCGCTTGTATCATGACACACCGTGCGAAGCTTGCGAAATCAATAGGTAAGTAAGCTATATTGCCTCATTACTCTGATATACGTCCTTCGTTCAGGAACTCGTGCCCATAGGAGGGAGTACATCAATATTATTGCAATGACTACTCAATCTTGTATGATTTCCTCGATTGGCTCGATCATCTATCTTATCCTCTACGCGATGGATAATTTTGTTCAGTATCCATTCATAGCCATCCAGAATCAAATGCAGGTAAGAGATAACACTATATCACGCCATCTAGTTTTAATTTTTAAGCAATACAGGTCATTGCACCATTTGTATTGATCTTGAGAATCATCCAGGGACAAGTGTGGACAAGACGGACAGATGTTAATACCACAGATCATTCGCTTCAAAGTGGTATCGAGGATTTCCTTCCAGCTTCAGCGAGCATCGTCTTAGTGCTCGTTCTTCTGAGGCATCCACCGTCGTATTGGCTTATGGAATTCCACATTATTAACAAATAGCTCCGTCACGACCCTAACATAAATGTACAGAACGGTCAGAACATTTACATAGCCGTCTAGACTTTCGTCATGGACTGATTTCTGCAAGCGGTAGAACAGAAGTAATCAGTTCCAGTCTGTGGGTAGCGTTGGCACATAATGCA